CCAATGTAATTCATCTAAGAGAAAAAATGTTGGTGCCACTTTCCAATATGTCACTAAAGGGATTTTATGCACATATTGACTCTATCTTTATTAATTTTGTCAAATCAGAATGATTAGACACTGGGATATTAACAAACCATAATTTACATTTTAAAGCATCATGATTAAGCATGTCATGTCAGCATCTTCAGCATCCATAGAAGACCATTTAGTCACTTCTTACTGTTGGAGATATAGAAATAAAGAATCTATATTGATATAAAGCTCCAAAGGAGATATAGAAATTGGTAATTCCGTGCCCACTGCAAAACAAAATAAAGATAAATTAAAAAATACCTGCAAACCCATGAAAGCTTCGGGAAGTTCTGTTAATTCAAACAAAAATTTCATGTACTTCTCTCTCTTGTCCTTCTCATCCACAGCAATCTCAAAAAGTTGGCCATTGTCTGTGCCAAGAATGACTTCCTTTGTGGAACCTTGAAGAAATTGCATGAAATAGAAAAACAAAGTGAACATTTACAACCTCAACCTTTATTCATAAGAAAAAACAAGGAAACACGTGTTAGATCACCTTCTGTTATGTGTTGCCTATTCCAAGCAACAGCATTCACAACAAGACCTTTCAGCCTGCTTAATACACGAGGTTTGCTCCACTTAGCATGAATGTAATAAGTGTCAGGTCCACTACCTCCAACTACCGTTGCAACGCAATGGCTACCTCCAGGATCAACAAAAACCTTGTTGACTGATTGTTCCCCGGTTCTACCAGCAGATAGATCAATATCTATATACTCAAATGGCCAAAAAAAAAAGGAAAAACACAAGGTGAGGATGTAAAAGAGTCTGCAACAGAACTGAACCTATAAGTAGCCTATTCAAAGTCAGCTTGGATTTGAAGAGTATGCTTGAGCTCATGAAAATTTGAGCTAGCCACGTTCTGCCAATTGAGGTCTTACTCAACACATATGGGATAATAAAGAACATAAAAGAAAATTCAGTTAAAAAGAGAAGCTTAAATTAAACAATAGATATATAAACACATACCTGAGGAATCTCCAACCCCAAAGTCGTGTCTGATAACCCATCCCTTACTAGTTCCCAATACAATTACATCATTCCCAGCTGCCATACAAGTAATTATACCACGCCCTTTTGCTGCATATCTCTCAAGAAGATCTACTGTAAATACTGGCCCCCCTTGATCCATCCTTTTTAAGCTGAAAAAACCTCAAATCCTACCAAGTAATTTTTAGAAAAACACATGGAAATTAGCATATAGCTACAAATGCATGCAGTAACTGCATTCTAAATTCTAAATGCAATTTCATCATAGGCCCCTAGCACAGGCATCCAAACCACAAAAAGGCAAACCTAGAATAACACAATAAGATCCAGCAGTCAAGATATAATGAGCCATTACCAAATTGGCTTTTACTTTACTTTCTGAAGAATGAAAGAGTTCTAAACAATGCATAAATGAAGTCTGTATATTGGACATAGAACACACCAATAAAAGTCAAGGGCTCAGATAAGATATCAGAAGAAACCCAAAAATAAAACCTAATCTTTGCATCAAACAATTACCAAAATGCTGGAAAAGCTACATAAGGCATTACTATATATTAGATATTCAATTAACTATATTTAACACAACACCCTGACATGGCCTTTAAATAGCAGCAGCTACTAAACATTGAACTCGGTGTTCCCAGGTCAATTCCACAGCATCTATCAAAAAAATCTTATCAACAAAATTCAACAACAAAAACCCAAGCTAAAAGTAAGTGGTAGTAGCTTTATGTTATTCTCAAATCATTAAACCTTATATCAGCATATAAATTCAGCACAACCTTCAATTCGTAATAAACAGCCGACTGAATTTAACATAGTTTCAAAAGTCATAAAAGTAGAACACTGAAATAAGAACTAAACTGTAGTCATATCATAGTAAGTGCAGGATTCGGAGGAGGCAATTTCGGCAATGATATAAGAAATTACAAAATGAAAATACCATACCTTTAATCACAGATAATATAGCTTCGAGCTTTTGTGCACAGTATAACTCCACTTGTGGAGATCAACTGTGAATCGTGTGTGCTTTCTCCCCGATCAAATGACTTCGGTACCTTGCAAAACGACCGCTAAACATAAAAATGACGACTTCTGTCTGAAAAGCGTCCGATAGGTCAGTGGCCGACCTAATTTGATGGGCGAAGATTATAGGTTTTCACGCCCTAAGCGCCCGCTTTTGAAAACTAAAAGTAAGATGAATTTCTTCCTTCCCGCTCACGTACTCGTCGGCCTCATCCGCTGTTGTTTAGCTTAAATTACAGAAAACTGGGGAGAAAAAAATGATTTAAACATAAAATTTGGTGCTAAAGGAGAAAATTGAGTCAGATAAAGATGCATTTGATTTCATTTTCTTTGCATAAACCAAAAGGAAATTAAAAGAAAGAATCTGACAACAAATTTTTTGAATAAATTTCCAATCAACATAACCTTTTCCGAGAATTCAACCAATGTATTCACACGAGATTCATAATATCAACATTAATATGTATTTACCTCGTCGGAGATTGACCGGAAAAAAGTTGCAGCAGGAAGTGGCGTCAATTGAACCAGAAATTTAACAGAGGTTTTTTCCGATATATTCAGTTCTATTAAACGACATCGTTTTTCTCTGTTACGTGGTTGTTTTTGTTGCTGGGGCCCCCTCTTATCAAACGAATCGTTTTGTCGTTTTTACCAGTGGCAATTTTTGTTGCCCACATCTCTTATAAAACGCACCGTTTTGCCTATACTGGACCGGACAAGGCCCAAATTAGATGGCCCAAATTACTTGAGTCAACTCAACTCAATGCGCTCTTCAGGACCCGCAGCGTGTTAATTAAGGAAACCATTAACCGGATTTATAATATTCTCTTTTTATTTCCAACTATAAATAATCTTTAAATGAAATCGGAGCGTTTATATTCTACGAGCCGTTTATAATTCAACGGCTGCGATTTAACCAATCACAACGTCTACTTCCCCCAACGGTCAAAAAATACATACAAAACTCTCTAATCAAATCATACCCCTTCCATTTTCACTTTTCTCAAAAAGATAAACCAAGAAAATACAGTAGCAATCTTGCTGCAATCACTCGAAAACACAGAAAATTGGTATCACCAGTATTCAAAAATGAGTTTTCTTCCATACCCAGATGCCCTTGATGCACCGGAGCTCCAGGTATGGAACAACGCAGCCTTCGACAACGGCGAATCTGAGGAGTCGGCTGCCATTAAAGCTTCTTCTTGGTTGATCATGAACCCAGATTTCTTAAATCTGTCTCTTGAATCCTGTTCCAGCAAGGAAAACCAGAGTCCAGGGTTGGTGAGTCCCCCTGTTCTTCGCAAATCCGGAGCCCCGATCAAGCCGCTTCATTCAAACAACACGGTGAACAGTGTGCAAGCGAAGCCATTGAAGAGTAGCTTTGAAGCTTCGTCGGGAAAATCAAGGAACGGGAAGGAAAAAGAAGGAAATGAAGAGAAAAAGCGGGGAGAGAGAACTATCGATCTGGAAATTGAGGAGATTGAGAAAGAGATCAGTCGCTTGACGTCAAAGCTCGAAATGCTGCGTTTTGAAAAAGCTGAGCAGACTGCGCGAAGTATTGCGATGAAAGGAAGAATCGTGCCTGCAAAATTCTTGGAGCAGAAACAGAGTATCAGGAATCTATCGAAGAAGACGGAAGAATCTATCTTCTCAAGTGGTAAAGGAAAGATTTTTAATCGCAGAGGGGTTAGTTTGGGACCTGCGGAGATTTTCTCTAAATCGAAGCAACTGGGTAAACAAGAAACAATCACGCCTGTTCAACTTCAGAGTCGGCGGAAATCATGTTTTTGGAAGCTGGAAGACATTGATCAAGAGAAAATAAGAAAAGAAAGAGGGAAAAGCTTGAGTCTTAGCCCAAAATCCCGTTCAAAAATTCATGGCCAGAAGCAAGCCGCAACTACTGTTGGATCCAAAAGGTCTGTGAAGAAAGAAGATGGACTTCTTACAACAATCCAGCCAAAGAAGCTCTTCAAAGACGGAGAAAAATCAGTAAAGAAGCCATTGAAACCCGGCAGAATTGTAGCGAGCAGGTACAGTCAGATCAATGGAAATAATGGAAATAGTTCAGTGAAGGATGCTCGAAAAAGGTCATTACCAGAGAATGATAAAGAGGAGAGTACGAGGGGTGACAAGAGACGCGCTTCAAATGAAAATTCCCTGGTTTCTTTTTCTTCTTGCAGGAACCAGAAAAGTGAGAGCAGAGTAAAGAAGAGATGGGAAATTCCTGCTGAGGGGGTGGTGTTCAAGTTGCAGGAGGCGGAGGAAATGACGCCGTCTATTGCTAACTTCCATGGTATGTTGCCAAAGATCAGGACACTTCGGTTATTTGGAGAGAGTCCACGTGATTCTGGTCCAGCCAAGAGGGTAGCTGAATTGGCAGGTAGAAAATCTTACTTCTGCAATAATGATGATGAGGATGAAAGCGACAAATCTGTTTTTCAGGCTTTGAGTTTTGCAATGGAAGATGGTGATGATTATCAAGTATAGTTTTCTCTATATGGGATTTGATTTAGCTTCTGTTTTTCAGTAATCCGTAACTCTTGTTATGGAGAAGAGAGTAAAGGGTACTGTTTCTCTTTCTTTTCTTTTCTTTTTTGTTTGTCTGGTTGGGTGGTATCTTTCTGGTCTACTATTGCTCTGTAAGTGATGATGCAATAATCTGATAAGCTTTTCTCTTGCTTTCTAATGATGATCAAGTAGATAAATTTGTTCATCTCCCATATATTTGATCTGGGTTGTTCATGAATTGATGTAAATCCCCATTTTTGCTTTTCTGAAGATATAATCTTAATTTTATAGAATAAAAATAGTAATACAGTATCATCAGGACAGAACTTTGTATGAAAAGGTCATCCCAATTTCAAGTTAATTCAGTGTCTAATTTAATTTGATTACCCTTTGATGGATAGAAAACAAAACTAAAGCTATGAGAGGTTGATTCAATTATGAATCAAATATGTAAAATTATTACTAACTTCAAGTCATCTCGAGTTTGGTAGGATTAAAGTGATTCTGGAAAATCAGTTATGTTTAAGAATGCCTCTTAAACAGTTTTTGCATAGGATTCTCCGTCATATATATAGATGTATATATGTCTATATGATCACAATCTTACAGAATTCATGTGTTAGGATTCTCTCTGATAATTGAACTCTCAATACTTCATAGGAAACTAAGAATGCATTAAAGATTCTCCAAGTCCGAAAAATGTAGAAGTCATCAAAATTTTGTCTTGAAAGTGGAATAAACTCAAGGTGTTCAACGCCTATGTAGAGCATAGTTGAGGAAGATGTAAAATATATATGTATATATGATCACAATCTTACAGAATTCATGTGTTACGATTCTATGTGATAATTGAACTCTCAATACTTCATACGAAACTAAGAAGACACAACCAAAGATTCTCCAAGTCCGAAAAACGGAGAAGTCATGAAAATTGTCTTGGAAGTGGAACAAACTCAAGGCATTGGCCTATGTAGAACATAGTTGAGGAAGATGATGTATGACCTCCAGAAGAACTCAGATTCGACTGGAGTCTCTTCCGAAAATGAATCGTCTACCCCAGTCTGATACAACCAACATCCTAGTGCGCCAGCTAACTAGCTTGCTGTAAAAGAATAAGGAGAAGAAGTTGAAAAATCTTTTACTGGCAAAAGCTTCTGTGGCATGGAAGAAAAAGACCTGAGTGAATATAATTACCTTGCATAGACTGAATACCATAGCCATTGAGTGCTATGACCAATTGACACCCAATCTCCTGGAAGTTCAGCTGCAGTTTGTTCCCCACCCAATGGCGCAAATGACCCAAGATGCCTGTACCTGCCATTAAAATACACCTATAGATTTAGGCAGGCTGGAGGAAGTCTTATGCAGAGATGCAACAATGTTATCTTTATTTAACAATATCAAAGCTTTTTGTTATAATGATCTCCAAGCTTACTTTCCCTCAACGCTGAGAAGTAAGCTATTTTGTGAGACTGAAGATCGGTGAAAGAACATTTTGTAGTAGATTCATATTCATTTCTTTCATATAGTATGACTGCTTGAGTAAACCACATAAATTTCTGTGTCTATTTACTTCTCTTCTTCTGATTTACTTTTTGATTTATCATATCATAAAGACTACTCTGAGGATTAGTAAAACTTGTTTGTGCTAATTGATGGAGGAAACAGCATTATACAAAGAAAGCTCAAATAAACATAGCAGAACTTGTACCTGAAAGGTTGGAAACGATGGCGGCCTTCTCCCCTGAATCTAAGGGGCCCTTCAGGATTCTTTTCACATTCCTCCATCCGATTAAAACATTTTGCAAGGTAGTGGCCTTGTTGATTAGCAACCTAATGCCATTTGAAAATCCAATAAGAAAGACATAAGGCAAATGATTGATAAAAAAGGGCATTTGCATATTTTATGCACAGAAACTCACCTGAGCTGTTGCAGGCAGATTTTTCATCTGGGAATCAACTTCTGAGAGAGCTTTTGTAAACTTTTCAATGTTCACCTCCTGATCTTCCCCTTCGTAGCTCTTCAGTAAGTCCTGGATGTTCTTCATTTTCCTTTTCTTCAGATAAATTTCCACTTGAGGGTACCTTTGACAAATATCTTTAACAGCCCCTTGGAAATCCTTTATGTTCAAAGTACCTTTGTTCACCTTGTCTGCTTTACTGAATATTGCAGCAATATCTTCCTGAGGATAGTTTTTGACAAAAGCATAACCATAAGATATTTTACAAGCATAATCCTTATCTACTTTACTATAGATTCAGTAATTAATGAACTCGAAGGATCTCCAAAGGGCTGTTAAAGATATTTTTTAAGCATAATCCTTGTCTACTTAACTATAGGTTCAGTAACTAACTGAACATTCAGTTAATATACACTACGTACCACAACTCTCCGTTGATTTATTGTTGCACAATCACCTAGTGCATACACATCTTCAGTACCTTCAACTCGAAGCCACTCATCAGTTGCTAAAACACGTCTGTGACCCTGTGATCAGAGACTAGATTAATTGTCTAGCCAAGGATATTGAGTCCAGTGTCATAAACAAGTATGATCCGATCGTGAGAAGTAAATGATGACATGACAAAATGGTTTTTGAGGAACAAACCTGACCAATTTGCTGCATGAAGTCCTTTATGACAGGCCGAGAACCAATCCCAGTTGACCAGACAACCATTCCATAAGGTTCATGAACAATTTTCCCAGTTCCCTTTTCCTTGGTGGAAATTTCATCTGCTGTCAGTTTTATAACCATTGAACCCGTCTTCAAATCTATACCATCCCTTTGGAATTTCTCTTCGGCAAAATTTGTGATCCTTTTGTCAAACCTGAACAAAGCAGGCAACAGCAAAGGTTGTTTCAAAACTTGACAGTAAGCAGAAATTGACAAGCTATTAGGCCCTTTACGTTCCTAGCAAAGAACAGTATGCCCTTTTTCTAAGAGTATGTGAGATTGAATTCGAACATAACTCATAAAATTCTAATTTATAGTAATTTTTTCACCACCCTATGTGGATGCTGGCAACATTGTTATGTCCTTTTCACATGCACAAGTACAGCTCTATCCTACTGTCAGGATACTAAAGATTAAAGGAAAATGTACTCGCAGGGGTAAAATAATCTTTTCATGAATTAGGGTTGGGTTTTGTTGCTGTAAACCAACTAGAAGTGGCCTATATATAGGAAAGGGTTCTATGAATAAAGATTGAGGAATGTATTAACTCAAGTTACCAATCTCTCTTTTCTCTGTTATCTTCTTCCTTTTCTCTGTTGGAAATCATGAACGAGGTTCGTGTGGTCAAACTAGAGTTAATTTGAACATATTTCTGGGTTTAAATTCTTAGTTAAGTGAAGATTTTGAATGTGACGACCATTAAGCTATCAAAAAATTGGTTATAAGGTAGATGTAAAAGAAATGGATGCCTTACATGTTCAAAATGTGATCACTTGCTTCAAGAAGTGTAATTCTTGTGAATTCTTGAACTTGAGGATATATTTTAGCAACATCCTCAACTAGGAAGTCATGAAGCTCTGCAGAAAACTCGACACCAGTTGGACCACCACCAACAACCACGAAATGCAAGATCCTTTTTCTTTCCTCATCGCTTAGATTAGGAAGAGATGCTCTTTCAAAACAGTCAATCACAGCCTTACGGATATTCTGAGCATGCTCCACTTCCTGCAAAAAGGACTTCACTCTCTGAATGCCATATATGATGAACTATGGTGAATACGAGAAATTTACGACTTGTAACTTGGAACAGAGTAAATTATTACAATTTGACCCAAATGAGCTATACAACCAAATACTTAAACAACTATTCAAAAAAAATTCGACATTGTAGTTAAATATGTACCTTCAGAAACATGGCATTTTCCTCGACTCCGGGCGTGTTGAATGTGTTTGATTGAGCTCCAACTGATACAACCAAGATATCATAGTCCATGATGAATTCTTCTGTGCCTTTCAAAGTAGTCTCTTGCTTCGATCTACAATAAATTTTCTTGTTTTTCGCATCAATCTTGTAACATTCAGCTTCCTCATATTGAAAACTTTTCTGCCATGTGGGTGAAATATTAAGCATAAAAGTTAATTCTCTTCAAATCCATCTACTAAATAGTTCCTATCCATTTCAGTTATTTGCACTATTTAACAGATAATTCTGAATTGCAAATAAACCGAAAGATTGTAAAGAAAAAATATCTAAAATATGATTTGTTGAGCAAACAGAATACTAAAGAAATATTTAAATTAAGAAATGAATTCTCAATAGATAAGGAAGGTGATAGCAACTAAATACAAGAAATTAAATTCTCAACATAAAAGGATTTCAAGATGGGAACGGCGATACCTCATAATAAATTATGTTCCATTTAAAATGAACTAAAAGAAAAATTAAAATCAGTACTGGGATTTAAATTAAATGAGAAACTAACCAAGCTTAACATAATCCAATAAACACTAGATAGTTAAATCAATCCAAATGTTCCACCCATGGTTTCACCTTGCTCGTGAGCTTGCGAATTGGTTCAACAATGCTACGTGCTTCTACTGTTCCATTTGTGACACTCGGTAACAGTGGAGTGAAGAGAAAATAGTTTCGTGGAGACACCACATGAACTTCATAGGAAGGATTATTCAGATAAGTCAAGAAACTGTAGCCAGCCCAGCCAGTTCCCAGCACCACCACTTTCTTTTTCTTGCATTCACCTTCACCATGATCACCAAGTAGTCTTTGGATTGGCCTTGCATCAGAAAATGCCACTATCCCACCACCACTGCAACAATAATCAAGTGTTTCGAAAAGGAAACTTTAGTTTATGAATACATTAACTTATAAGTTTATTTCCTCTAGGTTATCAATTCTTACTTTCTCACCAAGTTAACAAAATGAAACAAGAGGTTCTGAACTTAATTAGATAACTGGAGTTTTGAAAAATTCAAGCTTTGGATGTTTTGACTCTAATACTATATGAAACAATTAATTGCCTTTAGGTCATCCCAAAAAAATTAAACTTTAAATTGAACCAAAGAACCCAAAACTATCATTTATTCTCTCATATAAGAAATCCCTTTTTGCTGAAATTACTTGGAAAAATTTATATACATAGCAAAAGTAGTTAATTTTCATACTATATGGATATATATATATATATATAGAGAGAGAGAGAGAGAGAGATCACATCAACCATAAATTTGAGGAAGAAGGCTGCATAATATAAAGATAAACAAAGATGACGCCTTTCAGACATGCATAACATAAAAATGTATATATATATATATATATATATATATATATATATAAATAAAAAAAGAAATCCTTGCAAACAATCAAGCATGCGCATTATGTATATGTGTATACATAATAATCAAGCAAAAGGAGAAAACCCCTGTTCTCCATGAAGAAAAACTTCTACATAACAGATCACAGATGAAAAAGAAAAAGACAAAGTCACAGAAAATATACAATGTAGAAACATATCAGTGGAGAATCATATGATCAGACCTGACAGTGCTAACAACAAGAAGTTTCGAAAGCGTGGGGTAAGCACGAAAAGCTCTGGAGGCTCTTTCAAAGAACGTATACGCACGGCTCATTGTTATTACAACCCTACTTCTCCTTTATTTTCTACAAGAAAAAACAAAACTGAGAGAGCATGAGAATTTTTTTTATAAAGAGGAAACTGTTCAAGCAAGGTCCTCAAAAATGGAAAGAATCGGTTTTCAAAGTTCCTGCCTTTTTGTATAACTGTCAAGCAAGGTGTTTTTTTTTTTTTTTTTTTTTTTTTGTTCTTTTCCTGTATTGAATGAATCATTGACCTTCCTTAGCGAGAAAGAAGGACACGTGGCATTATTTTCCGACCAGGATCTCCTACTTTGCAGGAGATCCTAGTTTAAAGTTAGATTGTATGATGATGGTGCAGATACCGTCTGATTGAGTGGAGATCTTGATGGATGTAGAACCAGTGTATTATATTACCCTAAAAGATAGCCGCTTTTTGTTCGAGGAAGAGATTTTTGCTTAGCTTTTTTTGGTGGATCAAATATTACTATTATTATCTGAATCAACTAAGTCTCTTTGTTATGAAAGTTTCATGCTATCTCCATTAATGAAAGATATAATAACAGTCACAATATTATATTTATATATATATATAACACATGAATAGTTTACTACAGTGTGGATTCAAGAATCAATACATACCATTCAATAAATTTGAGACAAGAATATATTAAGAAGTAATTTGTATACAATTCGCCTTATTCGTCTTAACAGTTCGATATATAACTATTATAGAAAATATCTAACACTCCTCGTTCTCCTCTTGCTCAAGAATCTTGTAATAATTTTATAAAAGATAATTATATTAAAATTATAATTTTTGATGTAATTTTTATAATTTTGATTGTTTAGAATCAATTTAATCCCGAAATTTAAAAAAAATAGTTTCTTACGTTAAAATATAATAAATATTTAAGATTATGATTTATGAAAAAAAGTATAAATAGGGTAAAATAAAAATTAAATTAAAAATTTTTCGTTAAAGAAAAAATAATTGAGGACCTATATTTTTTTGTATTAAAAATTCGGATTTAAAACTCGGGTAATTAGGAAAATCAATTATTGTATTTCTAATTCTCAAATTTTTTTTAAGACCTAAAAGGAATTGACTTTAAAGCTATTGCATGTATAGGCTTCTTTTTAGTTGATATAATGTAATATGAAGATTCTAATCTCACACTTGAGATTTGTATTGTTTAGACTTTAAAGCTATTACATTTGATTCCAATAATTTAAATTTGATGTTTGAACTTGATGTACAACTCTTTTAAAGTCTTGATAAAATCTCGAGCCTTTTACAATCAATAAGCTTCTTAGTATTTAATTGTGAACATTGTGCGAGCAGCTTAACTCATTTCGAAGCAACTATATAAGAATTCTCACAACCAATAATTTAAAATTCGAAGTTCAACATCGTGTTAAACCTTCAATTCTGATTTGCCTGTAGTGTTTAAGCCAAGGAATTCCATGATTTTATGCCCATTCAATCAGATTTTCAATCATGACTCTTGATTGCATCGTAAACAAAGAGAATTGCTTTGAGAGATACAAGACACCGAGGTTTTAAACGAAAAGTCAAATATATTATTTTCAGAAACTAAAACTCAAACTATTACTAACAGAAAACTTAAACTCAACATAGAATCAGCAGTAAAATAATTTTCCTTATGTCGGATACATAATATATATAACTTCTATGGTTGGCTGGTTGGTCGAGAATAGATGAATATTAGGAGAAATGGGATTAAGCACCTGCAGAAGAAGAAAAAAAAGAAGCACAGAGCTTAACAGCTGCCAGATCTGCAGCAGGAATATTTACAAGATCACCTGAATTTTGACTCAAATGCGACTTGAATCTCTTCCGAAAATGAATCTTCTTGTCCAATCAGACACCACCAACACCCTAGTACGCCAGCTCACTTGCTTGCTGATTGTTAAAGAAAACTCATATGAGTAGTTCGTTAATCTTTACCAAAAATAATGTAACAAAATATCTCAAGTGGAACAATCATATTTGTAATATCTTCCAACTTCTCAATTTTCCTGAACGTTTTATAATGTTTCTCAATAAATAGAGCTACGAATGTTGGACACCAGAAGTAGAAGATAACTACCTTGCATATACAGAATACCAGAGCCACTGCGTGCTGTGACCCATGGAAACCCAGTCTCCAGGCAGTTCTGCAGCTGCTTGCTCTCCTCCTAATGGAGCAAATTGCCCAAAATGCTTGTACCTTGCAATTAGAGTTATGTACAGCTCAAAGGTTAGAAGAAGGAAAGAAATGTAATGAAATAACTTGACAATTCGCAAATGCACTCCGTTCATTTCCAGCTACTAAAACAAAACAATCACATTAGACACTGGAATTCTGGAGATGCCACTGCGACAAAGTAGTGAGGTCAAGTTGCATAGAGAGATAATCTTGTAAGCTGCAACAAACACTATTTCACCCCTGCAAAAATTCAGGTTTCCTCTATGCTCCCTGTATCATCCATCCTCATTCTCCTCTATAAGAGTAAAAATATTTGATTGTCCTTTTACTACCAGATTAAGCTTTTAGGATAATCAATTCAGTCATTTATTTAACATTCCATTCCATTTCTCTTGTTTCACCCTCTTTACTTTTTTATTTTAAAAAATAGAACAAGCAAGAACAGAGTATATAATACTCAGACAGAAATGTATATGCTAAAGAAAATGGAAATATATGGCATACCGAAATGGCATTTATAATTATTTCATGTAGAGAAAGTCCTGAGAATTATCCAATATATGGCATACCGAAATGGGAGGAATTGATGATGGCCAGAACCTCGGAAACTTCGAGAGCCTTCAGGACAATCTTTACACATCTCCCTATGGTTGAAACACCGAGAAAGATAAGTGCCTTGCTGAGCAGCAACCTGAAATATTTTAGAGTATATTCAAATCCCTGTTCCATACATAACCTTGGTAGTGGTAGAGTGTTCTCCAAACAATGGATGGATAAAATACCTGAGCAGTTGCAGGCAGACTCTTTATCTGTGAATCCACATGTGAAAGAGCCAACTTAAACTGCTCAATATTAACCTCCTTCCTATCATTTCCTTCAGGATCTTTCAGTAGATCTGCGCAACCACTCAGATGCATATTTTTCAAATAGAGCTCCATTTGGGGGTAATTTATGATGATGTCTTCCATCACATCTTGAAATTCTTCAACAGTTAAGGTACCAGATTTGTCCTTGTCCGCAGCCTCAAATATTGCTGCAATGTCTTCCTAAGGTTCAATAAAACCAAATAAAATGCAATTAGAAAATTCATGCAGCCAACTCAAACTAATTCGGGATTCTGTCTTAGTTAAATATTTATGTGAACTAATAAACAAGGTTAATCCAAACACTTCATGAAGGCAATCTAGGTTATACTAACAAAATTCATGGTGACACTTCTGAATGAACTAAAGAATAGATTCCTTGAAGCCTGAGATGCTTAGCTCAAGTAGCAAATGGTGCTTTTTGTTGAAGAATGATTCAAAATTTGACCTTGTATTTGTTTAGATTTGTTTGACCGAGTATACTGATAAGATAGAGTTTGTTTCCACTATTCAAGCTAGAAGCAGATAATAAATAGTCCGAGATAAAATGCACCTCTAAATAGTCTTTATGTATTCAATTTTTTTTCAGTAAGTTATATAACAACTAAGCATCAGAACTTCATTTTACTCTTCTTCTTCCTTTGTGTTGTCTCTTTCACGTTACTTTTCCTCAACAAACTTGGTATCAGAGCTTTATTGGTCTTTGGGTTAGCAAGTGTACCAGAGTTATATGAGAATGGCAGCAGCTGGGTTTTCTTCTCCTCAACCACTCCTACCCATTTTCAAAGGTGAGAAATATGAGTGGTGGAGTATCAAATTAAGATGTTGCTCAGATTGCAAGAGCTATGGGATCTGGTGGAATATGGGTTTATTGAAATATTTGAACCCAATGAAGAAGAAGAGGTGAGACTGAAAGAAACCAGAAAGAGAGATGCCAAGGCATTATTTATCCTACAACAAGCAGTCCATGAGACTATATTCTCACGGATTGCAGCAGCAACCACGTCAAAAGAAGCCCGGTCAATTTTGCAGACGGAATTTCAAGGCAATTCAAAGGTCATATGGTAAGATTGTAGTCACTAAGACATGACTTTGAAACCTTGATGATGAAAAATGGTGAATTGATTGCTGACTTCTTGTCACGAACAATGACAATAGTCGGTCAAATGTGGTCCTACAGCGAGCAGATTTCGGACGAAAAGATTGTTGCGAAAGTTTTGAGAAGCTTGACGCCAAAATTTGACCATGTGGTAGCAACTATAGAAGAAGCTAAGGATTTATCAGTTCTTTCTGTTGATGAACTGATGGGATCTCTTCAAGCTCATGAGGCAAGAATCAATAGATCAGTAGAAAAAAACGAAGCGAAGGCATTTCATGTGAAAGAGACAACCACCAAACAAGGAGAAAATGATAGTTCATCAAGTAAAGGTCGAGGAAGAGGAGGATCTCGCGGTGGTCGAGGTCGAGGTTGAGGTCGAGGTCACAGTCACAGCCATGGCAGAGGCAGAGGAAGGAATGACGGGCAAAGGCAGTCCAATGAGCAAGGTAACACGAAAAATGGCATTCAGTGTTATCATTGAAAAAGATAGGGATATATCAAAGCAGATTGTTGGTACAGAGATCAGAAGATGAACTTCGCAGCAGAAAATGAAGAAGAGAACAAGCTTTTTATGGCCTGTATTGATACTGATCATAAATCAAGTAATTTCTGGTTTGTGGACAGTGGCTGTTCAAACCATATGACAGGCACCAAATCTCTATTTCAGGAGCTAGATGAGACACAAAAGATAAAAGTACCACTTGGCAACAAAAGGGAGATGCAAGTTGAAGGAAAAAGCACAGTGGGAGTTGACACTAGCTATGGACAGGTAAAAATGCTGGGAAATGTTCAATTTGTTCCTGATTTAGGATACAATCTGTTGAGCGTTGGACAACTAATGGCTGGTGGACATTCAGTTTTGTTTGATGACGATGCATGTGTCATTACAAATAAGAAATCAGGCAAAAAGACTCACATCGTCATGACTCTGAATAAGATGTTTCCATTGGATGTTTCTGACAAAGAATTTTGCTCTCGCCGCAAGCGCAAAGGATGACTCAAAGTTGTGGCATTTGAGGTATGGGTATCTAAATATCAAAGGCCTGAAATTACTAAATGACAAAAGTATGGTTTTTGGACTACCAAAAGTTGGCTCTACTGATTTATGTGAAGGGTGTATCTATGGCAAGCAAATCAAGAAGTCATTTCCTGTAGGAAAATCCTGGAGAGCTACCAAATGTCTAGAATTGGTACATGCTGATTTGTGTGGGCCAATGCAAACTAAGTCCTTAGGTGGAAGTCGTTACTTCTTGCTATTTACTGATGACTATAGCCGTATGAGTTGGGTATAATTTCTGAAAAACAAGTCAGAAACTTTTGAGAAGTTCCAGAAATTTAAAACTATAATAGAAAACCAAAGTAGTCGTCGTATCAAAGCTCTTTGCACAGATAGGGGAGAAGAATTTGTGTCCAAGGAATTTAATAAGTTTTGTGAAGAAAATGGCATCCGTAGGGAGTTAACAACTCCTTATACTCCGGAGCAAAACGGTGTCACTGAGCGGAAGAATCGAACTATTGTAGAAATGGCTAGAAGTATGTTGCAAGTAATGAGACTTTCAACCTAGTTTTGGGCAGAAGCTGTAGCCACATCCGTCTATGTATTGAATCTCTCACCAACAAGGGCTGTCTTGAATCAAACTCCATATAAAGCTTGGTATGGAAGGAGACCAAATGTAAGTCATTTACGAGTATTTGGATGTGTTGCTTATGATTTGATAAATTCTCAAGCTCGTTAAAAGCTTGATAAAAAATCAGAAAAATGCATTTTTATTGGTTATTGTACTCAATCCAAGGCATATAGATTGTATAACCTCCTTAGTGACAAGATTTTGATTAGAAGGGTTGTAATGTGAGCTGGGATTGGAGTGAAGAGCAGATACATCAGGAGATTCCTATGCCCATTGAAGTTCCTTCAGATGAAAGACAAGAATCAACTCCTACAAGTCCACAAGCTAGCAATGCAACAGCATCAGCAACTCTTGAAGAGTCTTCTGCAGTATCAATTCCATTAAGAAGATCAACAAGAGTTAGAAAGTCAAATCTTAAATATGCTGATGACTTTTTTACTTCCTGTCAGTTTGCTCTTGCTGTTTCAGATCCCACACATTATGTAGAAGCAGCTGAAAAAGAAGAATGGCAGAAAGCAATGGTGGAAGAAATAACAACAATAGAAAAAAATAGAACATGGGAGATGGTTGACTTACCGGAAGGCAAAAATATAATTGGCTTAAAGTGGGTGTTCAAGACAAAATTTGCTGCAGATGGAAGCATACAAAAGCACAAAGCTCGTCTTGTGGCAAAAGGTTATGCACAACAATATAGTGTAGATTTTGAAGAAACTTTCTCTCCGGTAGCATGGTTTGAAATGGTGAGGCTTGTTTTAGCATTAGCTGCACAATTGCAATGGCCTGTTTATCAATTCGATGTCAAGTCAGCATTCTTAAATAGAGATTTGCAAGAGGAGGTCTATGTAGTACAACCAGAAGGCTTCATAAAGGAGGGCAGTGAGACAAAGGTGTACAAACTGAAAAAGGCATTATATGGATTGAAGCAGGCCCCTTGAGCATGGTATGGCAAGATTGATGGATATTTTCAGAAGAAGGGATACATGAGAAGTGAAAATGAACCCACTTTGTATGTGAAAAAGGAAGGAAAAAATGATTTCATCATTGTCTGTCTTTATGTTGATGACATCATTTATACTAGTTCTTCTACCTTGCTTGTGGATGAGTTTAAATCTCAAATGATGAATGAGTTTGAGATGCAGATATGGGTTTATTACATTATTTCCTTGGTCTTGAAGTCTATCAAGCTGAAAATGGTATTCTTATTTCACAAAGGAAATATGTCAGGGATCTTCTCAACAAATTTGGCATGCTTAATTGCAAGCCTGCAGCTACACCTATGAATATCAATGAAAAGTTGCAGCAAGAAGATGGGGAAGAGATGGCAGATGCCAGGAGATTTAGAAGCTTGGTTGGAGGTTTAATTTATCTAACTCATACTAGACCTGATATTGTATTTCCTACTGGTGTGTTATTTCCAAATTTATGCAACAACCTTCAAAGTTTCATTATGGAGCAGCAAAAAGGGTGGGTCTTACGATATACTGTTGAAACCTTAGAATATGGCATTTGGTATTCTAAAGTTTCTAATTTCAAGTTGTGTGGGTATACGGATAGTGATTGGACAAGTTCGTTGGATGATAGACGGAGTGTTTGAGCTAATGTTTTCACTCTAGGATCAGGGGTGATCACTTGGAATTCCAAACAACAAGCTACAATTGCATTGTCAACTTCACAAGCTGAGTATGTTGCAGCAACTTTAGTAGCTTGTCAAGCTATTTGGCTGAGGAGAGTATTAGCAGATATTCAACAAAAGCAGAAGGGAGTAACAGAGATATGTTGTGACAACAAGGCAACTATCTCCATGACAAAGAATCCAACATTCCACAGCAGAACAAAGCATATTGATATTCGCTATCATTTTATTCGTGATTTAGTAGAAAAGGAGGAGATATCATTGAAGTACTGCAGTACCAAAGAACAACTAGCTGATATGCTGACAAAAGCATTACCCAAAGAAAAATTCTGCTACTTTAGAAGATTGTTTGACATCTGCAGCTTTGAATCAAGGGGGAGTGTTGAAGAATGATTTAAAATTTAACTTTATCGTTGTTTACATTTTTTGGCCAAGTATAGTGGTAAGATAAAGTTTGTTTCCACTATTCAAGCTAGAAACAGATAATAAATAGTCTGAGATACATGTTGGATAAGTTCTGATGTAAGCCTATATAAAAGGCACCTCTACGTAGTCTTTATGTATTCAATTTTTTTCAGTAAGTTATATAACAACTAAGCATCAGAACTTCATTTTACTCTTCTTCTTCCTTTGTTTTGTCTCTTTCACGTTACTTTTCCTCAACACTTTTGGGGTACTCGGAGAGAGGTGAGCCCCATCTCCTATGTCGGCCAGAAGTTTGTCCTCCCAGCAATGGACTTGAGGCAATAATAAATAAATAGAACATATTCCTTGAAGAGGAGTCATAAATATTTTATGTTCACACATGATAATTTCTCTCTGAAAAAATAAGGACAGTTTTGGCTCACAAAAGTTGATTTGAGACTTGATCTATGAAGATGAAAGACTCAGGATAGCACAAGCTTGCCCAAGTTAGTAATCTAATGACAATGTGATATAAAAAGCTTGTCATCAAAAATGAAAATCAGAGAAGCTGCTGCAATCAAGGAAACAAGAAGTTAAGCTAGTAATCAAGCACAAACAAGTAGAAGCAAGAATTCGGAATAAGGACTCTAAAGCTTCACCTACCATGATTTTCCGCTGATCTATTGTAGCACAATCACCAAGGCCATACATTCCTTCACATCCCTTCACCCGTAGCCACTCATCGGTTGCCAGAACACGTCTTTTACCCTGTAAAGAATTCATTATAGTTAAGTAACTTCGGAATAAGAGGTTCTCATTAAGGATAAACCAATTTAACAAACCTGCCCAACTTGTTCCATCAGGTTCCTGATAACTGGGCGAGTCCCAATGCCAGCAGACCACACAACCAATCCATGTGGTACAGAGCAATCTTCACCAGTAGATTTAATCGTCATGGTGATTTCCTTATTGGTGATACTAACAACACGACATCCCGTTTTAACTTCAATACCATCTCTTGTAAATTTCTGTTCAGCAAATGAACTAATTCTTTCATCAAACCTGCGGAGGCAGAGCATAAATTTGCTAAGCTTTCAACTTAAAACAAGCCAATAATTTCATTGCATCACACAACCAGCTTCCTGTTCTTAATAGGATAAATCAAATGAAACAGACATCAATTTATGCTTGTGCATGAAAA